ATCTAGAGCTTCTTTAAGTACCCCATGTTCCACCAAATTCAAGGGAACAGGTAGCCCTAAGGCATGCATTATTTGAAATGACATCATTCCAACAAAGACTAACCCATCACATCGGGAAGCTAAGGAATGCAAAGCAGCTGCTTTATCAAAGAGATTACCCCCTCCAATCTGCACTGCCAAAGATAATAAAGTTAAGAGTCCATAAGTTTTTGGTTTGACTGGAACCAAACACAAATAATGGAACTAATATACTAGCAGTGGAGGCATACAATTGCTACATGTGGTTTTGTGTTGCTTTCTGTAGTCCTTCTAAGTTGAGATAGGCTCTCCTCAAAGTGAAAACCAGCTAAGTTGGCATAGCAGAAGCGAGCGACTCCGCAGGTGGATGCAAGAATCTTATGAGACCGGGAAAAGTAATCATTAACAAAAATATCCACTCCTGATGACAATGCTTGAGAAAATTTTGAACAATTGGCAACTTCCCCTCTAAACTCAGAAAGATTCTCAAGAAGAAGAATATCTCCTTTCTCAAAGCCTTCCCTCTTTGATACCACGTTTTGAGAAATGCATTGTACTGGAACAACGTTGTACTCAAGAAGAGATGACAAGAACTCTGAAATGTGGAGACCATCAAGCAATAAACAATGATCAGCAATTCAACATGTCGAATTGTCATATCATAGCCCCATGTTTCATGCTTAAATAAATCTGCCTTTTTTTTTTCACTGTCATGAGGCATCATAAAAAAACTAACATTAGTGTGAAGCATTATATACCTGCAACAGACTGCGCGACAAACAGTCTAGGATTAGTTTTAACACTCCAATCACTAACAAGAACTACTTTAGCCCCAGACTGGTGCAAATACTTAATGGTGAAGAGTGCACTGGGTTGAAATCGGTGTTCCTCCCCTTGTTCCCGAAGCAAAAGGGTAGAGTCAAATCTGACCAGTACAACTTTTGCAACAAGCTCCTCTCTTGGAAACTTTCTAAGAGTCTGCAAGTGTGGCAAGGCATCCATTTCTCCTCCTCCAAAGGCCTAAAAGAGCAAAACCCAATTGAAAAAAAGTAACACAAAACAAGATAGAACTGAAATTTAGCTAGTGGGCTAGTACCTTACCTTACACTTGGATGTTA